GATGCTGTAACATTTACTACTCCCACTGGCTACAGTTCGGCCCCACTTAAAATCTGAAGCAGTTAAATTGCCCTTTGTTTAGAATGTTTGGAGACCCCTCCTTTATTGTATTGTCAGAAGTGGTACAATGTTGTATATAGACTGTCATGACTGGTAATATGCTAACTAAGTAGTAGGCTTTTTGAACATCTGGAGGCAGTTTTTGCTCCTTAGAGTAATCCCTCAATTGCAGCTTAATAATGTATCAGATGTTTGCTCTTATGGTGTATGGAGAAATATAAATGATCATAGTCTGTCTACTTCTGAAGGTCCATGTAATAAGATGATGTATGTGCTTTAAAACCTGAACACGCCTTTCAGTCTGCAAACCTTAGCATAGACAGATTATACTAGTGTCTGGCTTGACTGCCAGCTGTATAATTTGATCCTAACTAGGTTGATGGTGAAAGCGATGACTAAGAAAAAAATGTAGCACATGTTATGCCAAGATACACTGGTAGCTGTCTTGTCAGTGCTAAAATATATTGTGAATGAAGACACTGTATGGTAAAGTAATCGTGGTCCTCTCTCTTCAACAGATGGGAAAGGGTTCCTTCAAATACGCTTGGGTCTTGGACAAACTGAAGGCTGAGCGTGAACGTGGTATTACCATTGACATTTCCCTGTGGAAATTTGAGACCAGCAGGTACTATGTCACCATTATTGATGCCCCTGGCCACAGAGACTTCATCAAGAACATGATCACTGGTACTTCTCAGGTAAATCGTCCTCTTCATACATCCTACTTTTCAGATGTTTTCATATTGGCTCAGTACTGTTCACTCTTTAGCACATGATTTTGTGTGCAGCTGCAACCACTGAATTAAAGATTTTTCTGTGTATATGTCATGTATAGGACTTGTAATGGTAAGCTACTGGATGGTAACAGAAGTATTTACCACATGCCACTTTCTATTTTTCATAGGCTGACTGCGCTGTGCTTATTGTTGCTGCCGGTGTTGGTGAGTTTGAGGCTGGTATCTCAAAGAATGGACAAACTCGTGAACATGCTCTTCTGGCCTACACTCTGGGCGTGAAGCAGCTTATTGTTGGTGTTAACAAAATGGATTCCACTGAGCCACCATACAGCCAGAAGAGATACGAGGAAATTGTAAAGGAAGTCAGCACTTACATCAAGAAAATTGGTTACAATCCCGATACTGTTGCCTTTGTACCCATCTCTGGTTGGAATGGTGACAACATGCTTGAACCCAGTGCCAATGTAAGTTTCCTCACGGAGAGTGTATTTGTTTTTAACTTTGTTCTTGGAACCTCTGTCTGATAATCCTTTGTTCCTGTGTAGATGCCATGGTTCAAGGGATGGAGCATCACCCGCAAAGAGGGAAAAGGCAGTGGAACCACTCTGCTGGAAGCTCTTGACTGCATTCTGCCACCTAGCCGCCCCACTGACAAGCCTCTTCGTCTGCCTCTGCAGGATGTGTACAAGATTGGTGGTATGTTTTCATGTCTTAAGTCAATCATGATTGTCTGTGCTTATATAATGACACATTTTCAATTGCTAAGTGTAAACTGTTCTTTGCAGGTATTGGTACAGTACCAGTTGGCCGTGTTGAAACTGGTATCCTGAAGCCAGGTATGGTGGTTACCTTTGCTCCAGTCAATGTAACAACTGAAGTAAAGTCTGTGGAAATGCACCATGAAGCTTTGAGCGAGGCTATGCCCGGTGACAATGTTGGTTTCAACGTAAAGAACGTTTCCGTTAAGGATATCCGTCGTGGTAACGTTGCTGGTGATAGCAAGAATGACCCACCTATGGAAGCTGGTATATTCACTGCACAGGTATGTAGGGCAGCTAGAATTTTGAAGGTTCAGGAGATGGTAACTTTTAAGTGTTAAAATGCTAAACCTTTCCCCATTTACTTCAGGTCATTATCCTGAACCACCCAGGACAGATCAGTGCTGGCTATGCGCCTGTGCTGGATTGCCATACTGCTCACATTGCCTGCAAATTTGCTGAGCTGAAGGAGAAGATCGACCGTCGTTCTGGTAAGAAACTGGAAGAAAACCCCAAGTCCCTGAAATCTGGTGATGCTGCCATCGTTGACATGGTCCCTGGCAAGCCCATGTGTGTGGAGAGCTTCTCTGACTATCCTCCCCTTGGTGAGTAAACAATATTTGTTAGTATAGCAGCTGTTTAGAACCTAGGGTTTGCTTATTTATGCTCTTGTGGTTTTGCGTTCAAGGGTGGCTTTGTGTGTCCTAACAGGTAAAGGCTTTGGAAGACCTTGCAATTTCAGAACTTTTTGCTAGTATAAGTGGGGGAAAATGTTATCTAGACGTCTGCATGCAATTAAACAAAATCTTTTCTTTCCTAGGTCGCTTCGCTGTGCGTGACATGAGGCAGACTGTTGCTGTTGGTGTCATCAAGGCTGTCGAAAAGAAGGCAGCAGGTGCTGGCAAAGTCACAAAGTCTGCTCAGAAGGCTCAAAAAGCCAAATGAATATTTCAACAATCCAGCACCACCTCAGTCTTAACCAGCGGTGGAAGATCGGTCTCAGAACTGTTTGTCTCAATTGGCCATTTAAGTTTAATAGTAAAAGACTGGTTAATGATAACAATGCATCGTAAAAGCTTCAGAAGGAAAGGAATATTTTGTGGACCATTTGTTTGTGGCAGTTTTAAGTTATTAGTGTTTTTAAATCAGTAATTTTTAAGTGGGAACAACTTGACCAAAAACCTGTCACCAAATTTTTTGAGACCATTAAACAAAGTTAATGAGACGTGTTTTGGCTTGTACTTGCAAATAAAATCTAGTTCTATATATATTCTGTCAGGTTGTGGACATGGGGGTTAACATGGTCAGAGATTTCTTTTTAAAAGACTTCTTCAAAAAGTGTGGCCTCTGGATTACACAGAAGTGTTCCATGGTGCCACTAGTACCATATTATAGAAGTTGGAAAGTTTAGAACTGTCTGATTTTACTGTTTGAAAAAGGAAAAAAAAAATCCCACTTCCACCTGGTAAAAAGGTTCCCAGGACAATATGAAGGGAAATCAGACGTGCACTGCAGAAAATCTATCGGGTTCCAACTATCAAACAAAACTAGGTACAGATAACTTGGCCTACATTTGTTGTAAGATGGCGATGCTCCTTTTAAAAGTATTGTCTGGTTTGGGTCTTTTTTTTTTTTTTTTTTTTTTTTTTTTTTTTCCCCCTTGGTGTGGACTTCAGGTCTTCTGTGTTATGCAACAGTTTTTAGTATTGTGATTTCAGATGTTAAATGATTGCTTGAGCCCATGGTGCCTAAAACTTGAAGTGAAGAATTTCAGGCTAGATTTAACTGAGCTTAAAACGGCTCCTGCCCCCCTCCTATTCTAACTGTCCTGTAGAAGGAAGATGGTCATACTTGGAGCTCTCCAGTCAGGTTTTGGCTCCCAGTGGCCAATGTCATGGGAGAGGGACAGCTGAAAATGGATGTCCCATAATAAGCTTATGGATTACGTCACAGCCCAGGAAATCCAGCTTGTCGGCAGTCTCTCCTTTCCCCTGAAGCTGGCTGTCTGGGATCACATGACTGGAGCAGAGCTCCCTGACAGTAGTTGTGCATAGGCATCTTCCTTCTACAGGGTAGTTAATGGTATTGGAAGGGGGCAAGTGGGACCTGATTTAAGCTTGGTTGGATCTAGCCTAATGCATTAAAATACATTCTAGAAAATCATCATTTAGCCCTGGTTCACAGAGAACAACATTTCAAAGTGTTTTTTTTGTTTTTGTTTGGTCTCACTTCAACTTCATTGCAATTTAACTCTCAGACTGTAAAGGTAAATGACACTGAAGTGATGAGACTTAAATTTCACTGAAGTGAAAATTGCACCTATTAAGACCGTGTCATAGGAATGCATTATATGTGACTTCAGGTGCGATTTATAAATCACATGTTGCATCTGAAGTCACAGCGGTGTGAACCAGGGCTAAATGACACAAACGCCATCATTTAACTGCACTTACAGCACACAACTTGAAAGTGCATAAAATGCATATCTGTGTTAATCCGTAGCCTTAAGCTGCCAGAAAACCACTGCAAATATGCATCTTATGTAACTTCTAAAAATGCATACATGTGTATGATGCCTTGCCTAATAAGCTGAATGATGTTGTGTACTGAAACCATGATTACATTGAGCATATTTGCTGGTAGCACAGCCCACTTGCTAATTTGAAAGCGCTCACAAATGATGGTGCCTGCTGCTCTTGCTTTATGGCAGCATACCTATGGTACTAGATCTTTCACAACACAAATGATTTGACTGAATTCCTCCCAAGACTGCACACTACTTACACATGTATTAGTTATCTGGGTAGAATGTACCAAGGTTGAGGGGAGATGGATGGCATCACATTCTGTGATCTTGTGGGGCAGATGTACTGACATCAGTTGCCTCTAGCGCCCATGTACACCAGTTCCCTTTTTGATTTTGGGCAGCTATGGCAAGCTCTTTTCCTTGGAAAGCTTGGATGGTATGAGACCTAAGCACGCATGGTCATGGGTTTATGTCGGTGGGGGGAGGCTCTCCTTTTTTATCATGCAGCTTTGATTGGCTACATAGTGTTAATGTAATCAGGAGCCAGTTCTATGAGCAGCATCACAGATCTGGGGCCACCGATGGTGTGTGCCCAAGAATGCCACAGTAGGGCATATAGGTGGCCGGGTGTTAAGGACAACCACCCTGTGTTGTCATAGTGGGGTTAATTACCTTGCTTTTATTTGTCATTGATATGCTGCCATGTAGGCTTGGCTCATTACATACTGTAATCTTCCTGTAGCTGCACATATTTGTGAAGGTGTTTATTCAAGTCATTGCATAATCATAGAAAGTTGGCCACCTGCTTGAGTAGAACCAGTTCAGTTGAAGCAACTAACTTCTACAAGCCATAGCAGCACATGTATTTTCCCCTCCCCATTGAGCAGTTCTGAAAATGGGAATTCCTTGGAGTAAAAGGTTTATAGTTCTTGCAAGTCATCCCAGACAGAGAGGGAACGTACTAACTATTGTAATTGTGTTGGTTGTGAAAATCCATGTGAGTTTTGGAGCTCCATTACCATGAAGGAATGCATAGTACGTTTCCTTGATCTCTACCTGTGAATGCACTCAGTAGACTAGTATCCAAGAATTCAGTATTACAGAAACAATATCTGTTAAAGGGGGAGGGTGTAGGCCTGTTTTATGACCATGCTATTCTCCATAGTGTGGTGAGTGAGCCTTGTCACACTAGGTGTTAAAGGCAGGGTCACGGTTAGGGCAAAAAAAACCTAATACAGCCACCACATCCTAAGACGGGTAAACTACAATATTACATTTGTTAAATGTGTTTTAAGGAATACAAGTCGAACTGGTAATTTTAATGGGCTACGTGTGGCCCTCTGCCCTAAGTGGTTTAAAATGGAATTAAACACTTTTTTTTTTTTTTTTTTTTTTTTTTTTTTTTTTTTTCTTTAGGCCCCCAGGAGGTTTGTGCCATAATGTGCTGGTATGCATAGCACTGTCATCCCTTTTGGCACTTCTCTCAATGTTCTCTGCGGGTTGGCTCTGTTTAACTGTTTGGATAGCCATGCTGTGGTGATGTCACTCCCACACACAGTCGCTTCATCATGGCACATAACATTGAAGTAAATGAGCTGCGCATGCGTGGCTCAGGCTATATTATCACTGACTGGCAGGGAGAAGCCTTTATGACCAAAGATACCACCAGGGTCTCTTGTTATAAAAGCTCTGCCTGCCAGCGGTTTTTGTTTAAAATCAGTTTTAATTTCTTTGGGAAGAATTTTTTTTTAATCCCTATCTGTTCTCCAGTTGTTAGGTTACACCTATACATAAATATGCAGCTACATCCTTAGCTGAAGTTTAATCTTACATTTTTGCCTTCCCCATTATCCCTCCTTAACAAATTTGCTAATTAAGTTTTGAAACAACCTGCTTTCCTTATATCCAGGGCATCATCGCTGGGTTTCTGTGCTTTATTGCTATGCAAGCAAGTTGTGCCTAGGGGGAGGGGCTAGCAAAATGCTGTACATAGCTTCCTTGAAACCATCACAACACCCTGTCTCACTATTTCATGAGCCCCAAGCCCCATTTCAATCATTGGGCTGGCGCTTGAGAGCAGTTATGCACATATCAAAATGCCTTGATTGGAAGATGTCAGGCAGAAGGCGTGGGGGTTTGCATGCCGACAGCCTTGGGTAAGCCTTCAGGTTGAAAGAACTGAAATCCAATGAATGAAAGGGATAGACCCAAGTACAGTAAGGCTGGGGTAGAAAGTGTTAAGATGATGCTGGACATCATCCAGCAAAAGAAGTTGATCCTGACTTGCAGCTTCTAATGCACCTCAAGAAGCTCACAATGTGAAGTGACAGAGTAATCAAATTCAGTACAGGGAAGGGCCTGTACAAATGTACAAGACTGAAAGTAGGGCAATAATGTACTGCTGACCACGTAAAGGTTCAGTAGGGACCAGATGAATTTCAATCCATATATGGGGGGAAGGGAGGCTGGTTGTACAGAAATCAATCTACCAATCATCATCTGTACAAGTAGCTGTTGGGGTTTTCCCAAATGATCAGTGCTGATGGTTCCCCACCATCAGAATACAATAGCATAGTGTGAGTGATTCCCCCATCCACCTTGTGTCATTATTTTCTATTCAACCTACTGGTTGAATGAAAAAAAAAAAAAAAAAGTAATGTATAGGCAGAATAACGCGTATAACAACCAGCTGCTGCACATATGCATCCATAGCAGTTTGAGATTGTGGGCCAAGTGTGTTCCCAGCACACTGACCAAGCTGTCCCTAAGGGCTTTCAGTCACAGCTTCTGATCAGGTGCCAGCAACACAGGCTCCCAGTCATGTGACTGATAAAGCCTACTTAAATGGCTGCTGGGATGTGGTGTGAATGAGGTAAGGGAATGTTGCATGGCCCCTTTCTCTGGCATTAAATGTGCAAAGGAGCATGTTCAGAATAACACTGATGAGACATGCACCTACACTTTGCTCTGAAGTACACTGCTCAATAAAAAAAAGGAACACTTAAAACATCAGATCTCAACAGGGACAAATATGCTGGATATCTATACTGATATGGACTGGGTGATAAATGAAAAAATCATTCAGTAATCTAGTCCATTTTGCTGAAATGTTATTGCAGCAACTCAGAATGGTACTCAATAGTTTGTATGGCCCCCACGTGCTTGTATGCAACGTCGGGGCATGCTCCTAATGAGACGATGGATGGTGTCCTGGGGTATTTCCTACCAGAGCTGGACAGTCTGAGGTGCAACCTGTCGGTGTCGGATGGACCGAAACATGATATCCCCGAGGTGTTCTATTGGATTTAGGTTAGGCGAGTGTGGGGGCCATTCAGTGGTATCAATTCCTTCATCCTACTCTTGCCACATGAGGCTGGGCATTGTTGTGCACCAGGAGGAACCCAGGACCCTCTGCACC